TCGTCTCCACAGCTTGTTGATACGAATATTGGTGGTCTGAGTCCTTAAGTTTAGCTACATCAATCTTCTTCTTTGGTCGTTGGTGGTGGTTTTTAATCAGCGAAATTCGTGATCTGACCTCGGCAATGCTCAAATAGTGATCCGTGTCCATATTTGCACCTCTATAAGATCTTGCATTTATCATGTTGGACTTGTGACGGGCACTAATGAGTACATGGTCTATCTGTGATGTTGTTTGCCCATTTGGAGAGATCCATGTTGCTTTGTGGATATTCTTTCGAGGAAAAAGAGTTGTTCCAACAACCAGTCCGTGCAATGTAGCAAAGTTCACCATCCGTAGCCCATTATCATTACTGGTCTTATGCAAGCTGTGGGTTCCTATGGTCGGCATGAGTGCCACCTCCTTACCAACTTGGGCGTTAAAGTCACCAAGAATGATTTTAACATCATTTTTGGGGCAGCTTTCTGTCACGCGTCCAAGTTCTTCATAAAATGTTTCCTTATCCTCCTCAGGTGACACCTCTGTTGGGGCATGGCAGTTAATTAGAGAGAAATTAAAAAATTTTCCTCTAAGCCGAATGTAGCATAACCTTTGGTTAATGGGAGTAAATCGCATCACCAGCTGTCGAGCTCTGCCTCTCACAACAAATCCGGTACCGAAGACGTGATGCTTTTCATGGCAGCTATAGTAGAGTGTATGGTACTTCTTCTCCATAATTCCCTGTCCTATCCATCGGACCTCTTGGATAGCTGCTATGTCGATTCTATATGTGTCCACTTCTGCAAGGAGCGCACGAAGTGCTCCTAGTCTATGTAATGATAAAATGTTCCAAAATCCAATTCTTAGGTCATTTAGGCGTTTCCTGGGTCTGTTACCGTAATTCAGTCCGGCTTCTTCTCTTTGAGGTTTCGTAATAAGGTACTTTAGGGGGGGGGGGTGGGTTATCAGCCCACTGCCCCCGAGTCAGGTAGAGGGGCTGCCTCCTCCGAGCATCCTGACTAGCTCCCCCATCCGGGGCGGCTACCTAGGGAAGGTGACCCTAGGGTGTGTACTGTAGGTGACCTTTGTCTGTAGTGTTTAGGTGTTGTAGTGTGCTGTATAAAGTGTACTTGGTGTGTGTGTTCGTGTAAGTGTTCCCCCAACCTGGAGGGCCAGTGGCTGGTTGCGGTACAATGACCGGGCGATGGGACCGCAAACCTCAGGTTTGCTCAGGTTAAATGCGGTTAGGCCATAATTCAAACTTGAGATTGCGAGATAAACCTAAGTTGTTTTTGTAAGAATGTATCGGCGTAGGGCCACTTCCTGCTTGCGGCAAGCTTCTTCGATATTTAGCAAACCACGTCCTCCTTCTTTCCTAGGTAAATACAGACGAACTTTGGAGGATATTGGGTGGTGGGCCCGTTCTTGTGTGAAAGTTGTTCGCACAAGGCGGTCGATCTCTTGTAGACTGGGGTTTGACCAGTGACTTATTATTATTATTATCTTTAAGCCTATTTATTTATCAATTTTTTTTGTATTTTTTAAAAAAAAAATTTGTTATACCTACCACCTAAATAGTTTAAACGTAGTGTTATTTAGTTGATCGGGCGCTGATAAACTGGATGTTGTACTGGATCTGGAAACAAACCAAACCAGTAGTGACGAATGTTCTCAAATAGAAATATTTCTGTTTTTTTAAAAATAAAAACAGGCAATCATTATATTTTATGTGAAAGAGTAGAAAGCCAAAAACTCAAAGAAAATGAAAATTGATTTGATCTTGAATCGGGTCGGTAAAATTTTACCTATTTTTTTTTTCCTGGCTCCTAATGGCTAATAACAACAGATTGAGATCGTTCAGGGCAAATTTTTAAAATCGACGATTGCTTCGGAAATCCATCAAACCGTTCTTAAACTTATGGATGAAAACAATCTATGGATTTCAGTGAGTCTCTTTATTAATCGATTGAATCCCCGACGGTTTAGCGGTTTCATAGTCTGTGAAGGTCCGTTTTTTTTATTTTTCAATTCAATTTACTTATTTATGTGAAGTTTACTTTCAATGTTTATTTATTTATGTATTGAAATCAAACTAAGCAGTAGGTAAGTGATTTCTAACTTTTTTCTTTTATGTTTCATATATTTTGTTACCTTCCAAGAGCGCCCAACTTCTTCTTCAACGTTCTTTCCTAAACTCACAAATCGCTGTCCGTTGCTGATGGAGTCAATCCATGGCATTAGGATGATAAGATAAGGAAATTGCCTTAATTTAATAAACCAATTCCATTTAACATGGAATGTTTATTGACAAAATAGATATCAATAATATCTCTATTAGATAGGTCCTAGATTGAAGAGGCTTTAACGACTTGATTGGAACAGATTGTAGTAATATTGTTGAGAGATTGAAGGGGAGAGGTTACAAAGGAACTGAATCCTACAATTTGGTTATATATTACAGCTTCATGATTGGAAATGAATAGGAAGAGGTTTAAGAATATATTGAATTGGGGGAGGTGGTCGATTGGTGGTGTGTATGTGAAGCCTCCGGTTCTGGTCAACAGTTGGCCATTAGAGGAAGAGGATGAGCTCCGCCGGGGGATTCCTCTTTAATAGCCTTACTCACCCTCCTTACTCTAATTTATCTATCTCATTGACAAATACCTACAATATCATCCAATACATACATGTGGTTGTTGTGAAAAGAAATAGCCTCACAATAACTAATAAACTTAATAATTTTAACTCTGTAATTATTACACATCTAGCTTTGTCCTATAGTTTCACTCGGGAAGTTTAATTCGGATTATTCATACGAGATTTATATAGCTAATTTCTAAATCACAAAGTTGAAAATAATTAATATATGGGACTCTAATTTATTTATAAGTTATTTGTTGTTTTACCATGACCTCAATAAAAAAATATACGTATTTGACTAGAATAATACCGTGGTCTATCTCTGATTAAATTTTTTTCTTAGCCCTAAATGTTTAACTGAGTAAAGCAAGACTGAGTGGAAGAGGATGGAAGGAAGAGCATTTTGTTATTTTGTTGGAGCACTTCATCTGAAATCTGTACCGCGGGATGGTTATCTTCTGCTTGTATTGGATCAAACTACCTCTAAAAACTAAAAAAAGCACACGGCACGATTAGTGTGAAATTTATTTATCAATTTATAATCATATAATTTATATGGAGTATTCATATCTAACGAGAACCTCTTTCTTGGAGCTAGTTTGTTTTAAGAGTTTTTTTTTCCATTCTTACAATTTATTATTAGTAAACAGAAGTTGAAACAACTATGCTTTAATGATTTTACGTTAGAGATTTAATCTGAATGATTATGAACAGTTGTTCTAAAATGTTGATATTGATAAAAGTTGGAAACTTTTGACTGTATTGTAGCCAGTTTGGTATTATGAACAAGGTTTGGATTTGACTTGACGAGCCACGCTACAGCGGCCCTATTTTACGTTAACTTAATGCTAAAAAATGTAATATAAATAAAACTTTATTCTCGTACTACAATTCTTTATAATTAACTCATTAGGCTTTATTATTATTATTTTTCGTTGTTCATAGATGTATGTTCACCTTTTTGAATTATACTCGATTGTCGTTATTGAGAAATTTCACCTCTAAAGTACAACTTCATTCAAAGTTCTACTTGATAGAGATGAAATTTATCTCTTAAATAAAAAGCTATTGGCAGGGCCAAAAAAGTCACCTCATCGCAAGAGAGAGTTTGAATGTAAGTTACAAAAGTGTATGTATTCCCTAAATTCGAAATGAGATTTTTTTTTTTAACTTGAAAATATGGGTTCAAACATGTAAAAAACATAATAGCTGACGTGGAGCAGCGAAAACGTTTTACAGTAAAAAAAGCAACAGATTTTTTAAAAATCTTTTTTCTTTTTTTTTACGTATATATACTAAATTGTGAATCAAAAAGGAAAATGTATTTTTTAAGACATTAAAGAAGTTTAAATTGTACGACGAACAAGTAACTAAGTTTGATAATTTGGTCAAGTGGTATAGTATAAAACTATGGTCAACGAATCCTGATTTTCAACAAATTTGTCAAAAACTGAGAAAAATTACTGCAAATACCCGAAGCTTGAAAATGAGTTCCCTAAGCGGAAAAACGTTTTAGAATCCAAGTATTAGAGGATCAAATACCACGTCTACCGAGTACCAACTGTTTTAATGTCACTTACTCCTCTTGAAACCGTTAATCTCTAGATGACTGGAAATTGGTAATAAAGGTAACTGTGATTTTAAATATTTCAACAGTATGAGTTTCTATTCTACTGAGTTATTCGTTTCTATAGTCTGCTATACACAGTATAGGCCGCTTATCTACATCTCAACAGCGACAAATTTTAAGAAACGTGGTGTCAATAAAAGAAGATTTTATAATGAAATAATATGAAACGTTTCAAATGAATGATATAATTGAGCTACATTAAAATAAAATGTTAGTAGTGAACGTGCGTAGAACTACAACTAGATGCTCTACAACTTCAAATTCTGTGTTGTTTCTCTTAGGAAACTCATTTCCAAGCTGCGGGCCGCTTCCATGTACGGTTTAGCAATTATAGGTGGAAGAACAAAAAAAATATCGAAAAGATGTGGCTTTTTTGGCTGTCATAAGTTTCCTCCTGGTGGACCGCGTTGGCAATTCCTTTTTTTTAAACCCATTTGAACCCATATAAAGAAGTTTAAAAAAATTAAAAGTTTTCGCAATATATTTCCCGTTTCGATCTTCCTCTTACTGGCCTAATATTCTTTAAATCAGGTGACATTTTAGAAAGCAGCTGAAGGCTCAATTTACTTAGAATTTAGAATAGCATACAAGTGTGTGCTTTACATTTTTCTTCGCCTGCGATGAGGCCACTGCCAATAGCACAAAGTCCCTGTCTCCAGGGCTATAATGCTTACCACTGGGATTATGTTACCATGTTACCATTGTATCGACTAGCGTTATTTAAGGGAACAGTTTTAATGAATTCTCTTTATGTTTCGTTTAGAGGAATATGGAGGGAGCCGGTGGTCTGGGACGGTGGTTCGAGCCTCAAGGTCTCCAGTCCAGCAGCCTGCTAAGGTAAAATCCTTGGGTCTCTCCTGTGTCGTCTGCGGGGACACGAGCTCCGGGAAGCACTACGGGATTCTCGCCTGCAACGGCTGTTCCGGATTCTTCAAGAGGTCCGTTAGAAGGAAACTCATATACAGGTTTGTTAAATATTTCACTTATTCATCTTCAGTTTGAAATAGATGAATTCTTCGGTTTAAATCATAAACAGATAAAATTAGCGAGTATTGTTTAGATATATGACTGGCGGAGCAAATTCCATGAGGCTTCGACAACAACTTGATCAGTTGTAGTGCCTTAAAAAAAAGAAAAAAAGAAGTTCACCCTTTACCAATTAAATACTACCTCATCCTCGCTCTTAAATTGTGTTTAAAAATTATCGAATCATTTTATCTACATAGACCATCAGTTGGCCTGCATATTTTTAGCATATTGAAGTTGAATTAGGAGAAGTATACTGTTCTTCTGAAAAATCTGGAGCGCGCATCACACAATTTTCACTTACCACTTTACTTTGAACATAAATTATTTCCTGGAAATTTCGTGCTATTAGAAAGCTTTTCAAGTCCATTTTTAATGGAATTAAACCTTAAACCTTTGAGCTAACCTGTAAAAACATAAGCCATTAAAATAATACAAACCCTATTTATTATATCCATGATAAACAATAAAAACCTTACAACTCCATCGGTCTATTGGAACCACCTAATTCCATCTCTGAGGTATATATGCCTCTAGAAATTTGAAAGTACATATGTATATTGGACCGATACACGATTATAGATTATAGATTGTACCACAAGGATTTATTTTTGGGGGGGGGGCTTTGGGCCAAAAGATTTTTTTTTCTCATAGATAACGATAATTACTATGGAAAAAAAAAATACTAACTGCCTATATGAAATGATGTTTAAGTGATTCTTGAAGTTCTATTAAATGTAATTACACTAACAATAATACTTTACGAGATAATTTTTTAATGAATAAAGTTACAGTTTACTCTCTTTTTTTTTTTATGGCGTTTGAGATCACTTTACTATCCCATTTTCAGAACGTATCTCATCCTTCTACCATCTAAGTTTTTAAAAAAGAATTGTCATAATTATTATTTTTATAAATCAACCCTTAGTTATGTTGTGGACTCCTCTAGTCCCTTAGTGCCTGACTAGGCTCTCCCTAGAGGAGTCCACAACATAACTAAGGGATGACTTATAAAAATAAAAATTATGACAATTCTTTTTTAAAAAAATAGATTATAGAAGGATGAGATACGGTCTAAAGATGGGATAATAAAGTGATCCTGAAGCGTCATAAAAATAAAGAAATTTTTTTTTAGTAGAGTAAACTGTTACTTAACTTTATTCATATACCTTATAAACAAAAAAATAATTTTTGTGTATACATTTTTTATAAACATGATTACATTTTACCATTTTGGGGAGGGAGGGGGCTTCAGCCCGAAAGCCCTCCCTCCCGTAGATCCGCCTGTGGATTGTACTATATACTATAAGTTATCAAACTCTTATTATCCATTGTGAAGTTCATTCATATGGTGCTACGAGATTTTAATTGCCTACCATCGATAGGTCAAAAGTTGTCACACTAATTGTAAGTGGATAATCTTGTGATTTCACATAGGGAAAATTATCCACTATTTTAGTTTCCTTAAAAGATTGCATTTTTTGGAATAAACGGCCGATAGATACGTAATTCTTTAAATATAATACCGGATATTATATTTAAATAATTACTCAATATTATAATTGGACTAACAAATAATATAATCTATGAATGGTTTTTCTTTTGTGTTGTTTTAAAATCGTTTTTTCGTTATTATTGGTAGCTTTTTATTTTAAAAAATCAGATGCAGAGCCCTTTTTCAAGGATTCCAATTTTATGAAAGTTTAGGTATGTAGTAAAATATATGTCGCCGCCCATAACTATTTTTAATGTTAAATTTTGCTAAAAATAGCTGGTGGAAGGACTTTTGCTATGGAGTATCGGAGTGTGGAAAGATGAAAATCAATTAAAAGGATGGCTCTAATCCGGTTGATGTGAGGAGCGGGGGGAGGAGGGGGAGGGTCAGGTGCGGCGGGGATCAGCCTTGGATTGATGGGGCAATTCTCTCCCCCTTTACCCCCTCCACTCCCCAATCAAAAACTAGCTCCGCCCCCTGGGGCCTTTAGTATTTAATTTCTTTCCTCCCTAAGGGGCGCAGCTTTCCCGCCTCCATCAAGTGGCTTTGGACCCTCCACTAAAATTGAATTTGGGATTCCCGCCCTTAAAGTGAACAATATCTGTTAGCCGTGATTCCCTCTCTCTTAATCCATCTTTCTTATTCGAATCTAACATTGAATTAGCCTCAACTCCTCTTCATCTTTTCTTTCTTCTGTATTGTTTTCTTGTACATCTTCATTTTTTATTCCTCTTAATTCTTTTGTTTCTTACTTCTTTTCTTGAAAGGCCTCTGGTAATTCCTTCTAATAATTAAAATTTATTCAGTGATATCCTTAACGATTAATTTGTTAGATAGAAAAGTAGTCTATTTCTTATTTATAAATATGATTCAAGACATGGATGATACATTTTACGATTCATGTATCATTACTACAAAATGAGCTGAAATACTTGACCTTATTTAAAGTTGTTATTTTTGGGTGACTGGCTCCAGTGGCTGTAATTTAACAGTAAAAGAATAAAACTAAATTCTTTTATAAGTAAATTCTATGTAAGTAAAACTAAACCTAAATGCAATCTGCTATTGATCATTCTTAACTACGTTGGTTATATTTGCTTAAATAAATCAGAGATAGAATTACAAGTCTTTTATTGAAGAAAAATAACACAATTTGCCACAATCTAGAGCATTGAGCACTATGTTGGCTCTATGTTTACATTCATACATTTTATATACAATTTAAAATAAAAATTGAGAAAAACAAATTAAATGAGAAGAAAACACTGAAGTAAAAAATATATACATTAAAATAAAAGAAGAAAAAATTGTAAAAAGAAAAAAAAATACATTCAAAGAATAGTAAAGAAAGAAAAAAAAATTACTTGACTCGCATTCATTCCTATGTACAATATTTACATTCAACCTAGGGAACTCTGAACCATGCCTTGCCGCTTTCAAGTGAAAGGCAAGGCAGGGCTCAAGGAGCGCTTCTCTCCTAGCAGCATCGCTGTTTAAAAGCCGGTGGAGACTGAGTAAGACCAATAAATCTACACACGCTCAGAACTTGAGAGTGGAGAATCTGACCACTGCCAGAACTCCAATTCGGGGCCATTGCCTTTTCAACCTTCATGGGGGATTATATGGATGGCTGAAGCTGGAAAGGGATTGTCCTAAGGAATTGGGATGATGGATAAGTTTTGATGAAAGTTTGAGAATTTGGATGGAATTGCGTCGAGGTTCCAGCTGCTACCAGCCTTTGCGACACCTCTCCATCGATATAGGCACTTTCGTTGATGCATGCGCCTAGATATTTAAAATGCTGCACCTGTCCCAGGTCTGTCCTTTTAACCTCAATATTCTCATAACATGGCGGGGACGTCTACCTATTCTCACGCATTTTGTCTTCTGTGAATTAATATCCATGTTAATGCTAGACTGCTCTTCTACCTTTTAAAGAACTCGAAGAGTCTGTTATTATTACTATTGTTTTGGGAGTTATCGACATGGACAAATAAACAGCTGAGAGAAGCTCAGCTGTATAAACACTGCATAAATTATGTAGTTTTATTTTGTGGGTGATAAATGAAGATGCTGTGGATTCTTCGGATTTCGATCAGTCGGTATAGATTAAAAATGTTGCTGGAATTTTGTGAAGAAGATGAGAGAATTTAGTTTTATTTCTGAAGGTGAGGTTTCATTTTTCGGTAATTGTGATTATACTAACAAGGTTAGTAATGCTTGTTTATCCACGGAGGATCATAATTTTTTGTTTTTTCTAAATGTAATTCTTTAAGGAACGTAGTAGCTGAGTTAATTCTTTCTGACAAAGGGAGGGTTGAATTTGTTTTCTTTTAAAAAAATTTCGGCTTGAAAATATATTTATATGTCGGATGTTCGGTTTGAGGGTATAATGTAGAAATATAATTAATGGCCAGCTTTTTTGTCTATTCAAAAGAGGGGTTTCTCCTGATTCAGAACATAAACTGAGCACCGAGCTGGTTCGAAATGCGCCAGGCCTAATCCTAATACCAGCGTGATGTACTGCATCAAGTTTATTAAGGATCCGGAAAGGTGGAGAGCTGTAGATAAAACAACCATAGCCCAGCTTTAAACATATTAATGAGCAATATAGTTTTAGAAGGATGGTTCTATCAGAACCCCAGGAGGTACCACTTAGTTATTTTAATATGGTTAGTTTTTTGGTCGCGGCAATTTTTATGTTTGCCATGTCAGTCTTCGGTCTAATACCATACCAAGAATCTATGACTGTTTGTATATGGGATCAGTGATTTTTCTAAATAAATGTCAGGAGAGAGTGAAGTATCTCGTTTTGAAACGGAAGTATTTTGATTTTTCAGCGGAGTATTTGTGACCAGTGGAAAGGGACCAGTTTTGTTATTCTATTTACGGTTCCTTAGTATTTGTGCTGATTAGTGGCAATGTTGTTAGAGTGGTTTACGAAGTTAAGTCCCAAGTCATTTATTGAAATACATAACAATGCTGGACTGAGGGCACAGCCTTGTGGAACACCACTCATCTGTTATTCTCCTTAGATATTTCGCAGCCAATGTTTACTCGAAATTGGCCTTTTGAAAGAAATTTTTTAATGTAATTGAACCTGTTCCCTCTTATTCCAATTGATGATAGTCTTTTTAAGATTAGATCATGCTGTATGCTGTCAAAGGCTTTCTTCATATTAAGGAAAACCGCAATTGCAAGTTGTCCCTTGATGAAAGGATGCTGGTATTCTGCCTCCAATGCAACTAGATAGTCTATTGTGCATCGTCCCTTGTGAAGCCCAGATTGAAATGGCTGAATTGAATTATTGTTCTCTATAATCCACGTCAATTTTTTTTTACCATCCCTTCCATTATTTTGCTTAAGCAGCTTGTGAGGAATATAGTACATTTGCTATCTGGAAGCTGCTTGTCTTTTCGGTTCCTATGAATAGGAATAACCAAAAAATTGCCCCTGGAACTTGGGAAGTGTCCAGTCGACCAGACACGATTGTAGTATTTTAGGAGCCATTTAATTGTGTCAAGAAGAAGATTTTTAATCATATCATAATGGGTATGACGGAATTTAGGATATACTTTAGTTCCCACATTGAGAAAG